CCTGTTGTGGTTCAGGGTCTTTCATCTTTCAGCTGCCTGCGTGCATGTTGGAGGTGCAAGATACCTGAGCATGTAATGTTAATTTTTACCTGTGTTCATTGAATAAATCAGCACTGTTTTGAAGTTATTTGGACTCTCAGAGTTAGCATGGTAAAAAGTACTGGGTGCAACAGACATCTGAGGATCAGCCTTCTGGCTCAGAGTGGTTGAACCTTCATTAGTCAGCATATTGGGCAATATACCTTCTTGCTTTCTGTCCTTGAGAAGTTGATTTTCAACCTCAGGTCTGTGGCTTGAGTCAGGAGTCACACAGTTAGCCTAGCTTAGCATAAATTGTAGCTAAAAACTGACCAAAGTACATCTACCAACACCTCTAATTAATATTTTGTATTTTGCTTTTTATCATTAATGTTAAAAACAACAGTTTGTGGTTTTAGAGGGAGTTATATGTTGGGACTATTTCTTACCAGTTATCCATCCAGCATCCACCTAACACTTCTGTGCAGTGACTTGATACAACCTCACTATGAAGACAAGAATCTGGGAATCTGATAGTTACTGGCCCCTAAAATACAAATTGTCATTTCAACATTTTCATTTAGATTTAACAAATAAGATACATGCAATTTTATTTAGCTTTACAGGTGTTAGAAATAATTTAAGACTACATTGCCATCATTACAATCATTAGGATTTATCCTCCTGTGATCTTGAATAACGGTAGCAATTAATGGAAATCCAGTTGCCGATACTGTCTGTGGACCTAAATGTCAGACCAAATGTTAGCCACAATGACAACAGTTCTCTGCATGATTTATTCAATAAATTCAAATCCATATTATTAGTGGTATTTGACACATCAATTACAATAATTCAGGAGGGTTTCACTTTTTCAGCATTAACAGCAGCAGAGTACTATAAGTATACAGTAATAACCTCCACATTTACTAATTTATAATTTAAATGCAAGTGTAAATAATGTATTAGTGTCGTTCTTCATTCACCCCTGAGTACTTTAAGATACAGTAGCCTATAAGTCTGACATTCACATACCTAACACTGCTTAAACACTGATAAATTCAAGTCTGGCATCCACAGTCTAGGAGACTAAATTGTTCCAGCGATGGTTCTTCTCAGTAACAGAGTGACACAAGTGCTGTATTGAGGTAGAAACCTCGCTTCAGGACTGGATGCATCATCATCTGATTAATCTCTCTGACTCTCTATTCATTAGCATTCATTAGATAGCAGTACCTAAACCTGAAATGTTCTGAAATAATACAGTACTGCAAGTTTAACCCTTAAAGGAACATTTTGAGGAGCTTTAAGGAAGCTTTAAAGTGCATCATAACAGCATGATTATCCCAGCCACTCAATATGGTCCTTTTGTACTTGTTCCAGTGTCATACATAAACTATGCAGCTTCCATCTCATCATCATTTTCTTCTGAGCAAAGGAACATGTCAAAAAACAAGTACAACTCCAGATATGAATAGAACTGATAGTGGTAATCATAGCATTTTTGAAATTAAACAGTGACAAATATGAGTTATCAACAGGTAAATGTGATGAGTAAGGTCTTAGCAGTAACTCCCTCTGAGAAAGATTACATGACACCAAAACCACAAAAGACATGACAGAACAACATGAAAATACATTCTTTCAAGATTCGTCTGAGCACTGAGTCATGGTCCATGTTCAGAGTGCAAATTAACTCAGCAAAGGAATTGTTTTTTAGATTTCTCAACTGAAATCATGCTTCCTCTCCATTATCTATACTATACTGCTTATACAGTACTAACGAGGGGCATGGTGGGCTGGAGCCAATCCCAGCTGACATGGAAATATAGCATTGATTTTGATGAATATAACATAACACATTTAAATGTGGTTTACTTTTAACAAATGCAGCAAGGACATTTGAGGCTATCATCACTATTTGGTTTAGGAAATAACTGTGCAACTTGGGAAACAAGTTTTAAGTTTTGATTCCAGTGCTGCAAACAAAACAGTTCTCTCTCTTTCAGATGAATGGTTAGACTATGAACCTCTCACAGTCTCAAAAGATTTTATTTTTTTTATCTGTTCTTTTAAGCTTAAAACGTTTTTGAGGGGATACTTCTTTGACTCAGAACAAGAGTCAGTGAAGATTATAGAAATACTTTCAGCACAGCACAAAGTGCTGTTAAATGACCCTCCGATGTTTTCAAAGACTACCTGGTTAATGTTTATCATAAAAAGAGATCAGCTCTGTGACTTATATGTGTATGTAAAAAAAAACAGTACATGAAAGGTACAAACTGCTATTAACAATTAACTGGATTTATCTGGAGAGTGCAATTACTTCAACCATCGCTTTTCCAAACTATGGCTTTTGCTCTGAGAGGTTGTTTGTACTGTACATCACATATCATGCAGGCCTGCAAACTGGGAAGTGCTGTTCCCATCTTCTTTTGAATGGTAGAGTTTACTAACATGAAGTGTCGGCAAAAAGGCTTGTACATAATGTGCACTACTTCCATGCACTGCAGCTGGCTTTTCAAGCTGATGATAAAACATCACATTGACATCACACAACCTTAACTAGAGCACTATGGGAATCTGGTCATCAGTGTAATAAAACCCATAAAACAGCAGATGTACTGACTTCACCATGACTATATTTTACATCTAAAAAAACCCAAATTCCAACAAGTTAGCGGGATATAATATGCTCTAGAAAGGTTATATGTCATTTAAGGTTAGAAAGCAAGTATGGCTTCTTAATGTCAGGGCAAGTTTGACTGGCCCCTGAAAGTGCGTTACTTTATAACTATTATGAGCTCTCAGCTATTTCTGTTATGTCGGCAAGGCTACCACACTTCCTGCTGCAAGGGTAACTTGGAAAGAGAGAGGAAATGAGAGTTTGTATTATTGTTTGTGTAAGTCAGAGGAAGAGAAGGTAGGCCTAACAAAACAAGTCAGAAAAAACCTGATATAAGATACAGTCAGGAAAAAAATTATTTGAACCCCAGCTGATTTTGTAAGTTTGCCCACTAACAAAGAAATGATCAGTCTACAATTTCAATGGTAGGTTTATTTCAACAGTGAGTGACACAACAATAACAAAAAATCCAGAAAAATGCATTACAAAAAAGTTATAAAGTAATTTGCATTTTCATGAATGAAATAAGTATTTGATCCCCTTGGCAGAAAAACACCCCCAAAGCATAATGTTTCCACCTCCATATTTGACGGTGGGGACGGTGTTTTTGGAGTCAGGCAGCATTCCTCCTCCTCCAAACATGGCGAGTTGAGTTCATGCCAAAGAGCTCGATTTTGGTCTCATCTGACCACAACACTTTCACCCAGTCTTCCTCTGAATCAGTCAGATGTTCAGTGGCAAACTTGAAATGGGCCTGTAGATGTGCTTTCTTGAGCAGGGGGACCTTGCAGGCACAGAAGGATTTCAGTCCTTCACGGCGTAGTGTGTTACCAACTGTTTTTTTGGTGACTATGGTCCCAGCTGCCTTGAGATCATTGACAAGTTCCTCCCGAGTAATTCTGGGCTGATTCCTCACCGTTCTCATTATCATTGAAACTCCACGAGGTGAGATCTTGCATGGAGCTCCAGACCAAGGGAGATTGGCAGTTAATTTATGTTTCTTCCAGTTGCGAATATTCGCACCAACTGTTGTCAGCTTCTCACCCAGGTGCTTGGCGATGGTCTTGTAGCCCATTCCAGCCTTGTGTAGGTCCACAGTCTTGTCCCTGACATCCTTGGAAAGCTCTTTGGTCTTGGCCATGGTGAAGAGTTTGGAATCTGGATTGATTGATTGCTTCTGTGGACAGGTCTCTTTTATACAGGTAACGAGCTGAGAGGGCTCCCAATGTCAGCTCCTTACCTGTATAAAATACACCTGGGAGCCAGAGATCTTGTTGACTGATAGGGGATCAAATACCTATTTCATTCATGAAAATGCAAACTAATGTATAACTTTTTTGTAATGCATTTTTCTGGATTTTTTTTGTTATTGTTGTGTCTCTCACTGTTCAAATAAACCTACCATTGAAACTGTAGACTGATCATTTCTTTGTTAGTGGGCAAACTTACAAAATCAGCTGGGGTTCAAATAATTTTTTCCCTGACTGTATCTGTATGATCACTGACATTTAAGGTGTTTCTTGGGGCGTTCCTTTGCTAGTTGGTCTCTCTGAGGTCCGTAGATGCAGTTGGCATGCCAGGAGAACCACAAAATGATGGAGATGATGGTGGTCTGGAGGAGGAGCATCACCCCGTAGGTGGAAGCTATGGTAGGTCCAGGTAGGTGGGATAAGGTGGCAGGTGGCAGCAGCAGAGTCGGACTAAGCAGGATGGCTCTCATCTCAGCCTTGATCATGTGAAGTTCGTCAAGGATGGACAAAAACGTAAAGCAGTGGAACCACTGGTGGCTGTGCCCCCAGATGTCAAAGCGACCTGGGGCCAGTCGCTCTGGGAACTTGCTGATGTTGAAGACAGCTGACACCAGCAGCCAGAGGCAGTGGTGATAGAAGAACTTGGACATAGTGCTGGAAGTAACAAAGGAGGCTGAGGTGGTGGAATAAGGAGATTTGGTGAAGAGGCGGTAGAAGACTGGCGTGGAAGAGCTAAGGAATGGCAGGAGGAACACAAAGGTCCGGATGATGTATCGATGCTGCTTCCACTTCAGGCGAGTATTGCAGCAAGATATGACACAAATGATTGCTACAGCACATGTGCATGGGATATATAAGGTTTCAAAAAACACACTGAACTCTGGGATTGCATAGGATGATACAGGAACCCTTGTTGGTTCATGTTTCAAGTCCATATGGGAGATGTTATGTTCTCCTGTCTCCACTATCCCTGCCCGAGGATGGATATAGTAGTAGTATGCCAGTGATGAACCAACTGTGTAGGCACTGATAGTACCATAATCCACAAAGAAGCAGACTTCTCTTACCACCAGAGACATTGAGTTGAGCAGGTGGGCCATGCTGCTAGCCATTAGCAGACAGAACACCCCAATAAAGTAGTTCCACAATGGATAGAAGAAAGGAGCATCACTATGCGGTGCGCCATCCCAACCAAACACCTCCATAAAATAGTAGAAAAAAATGAAAACTGGGAGGAAGTGTGTCCAGAAGTTGCCTGTTTCATTGGTAGGCCTGAATGCTGATAGCAAGCATTCTCTTAGGCTGTAGTTTGGGAAGCGGTACCCAGTCAGGATGAAATTTTCTATGACCCGAGGTGGAACATCTGTATGTCTCAGAAGAGGTAATGGCTGACCACAGTTCAGGAGCATAATGGCAACAGTTTAAGTTGCTGAATGCCAAGAATGTCTATTTGTATCTGACCTTTCCTGCAAAGCACTTCAGTTTTTATTGCTTGGCTATTGACTTTGTTATTGATCACAGCGTAATTAGTGATCACTACCATACAATCTGTTGTTCATAAGTGAATAAGGCATAGGTGCTCTAGCTGGAAAAGACCTTTCACCCTGGGTGTTCTTTGGACTTTTGATCCTGGTTCCAGTTGTGGGGCCTTGCGTGTTGTAGGCTGATCCAAAGAGCAGAGGCAGTATACAATCAGGTGGTATACTGAGAGAGACTGGCTGGAGAGAGTGCAGAATCCAGCAGACTCAGGCCAGGTTAACTTTTTCTTTTTGGTTTCCTCTTTGACGCCAGAGCTTTATAGAAGGTCAGCAAAATATCCTGTACAGGAAGCATATCACGCTATTGATCTTGGTCCGCTATTTTGCATAGGACATGATCCTTACAGATGTTTTTCTTGTTCACTCATATACATGTTCACAGCTTGTTATGCATAGTTCTGCAGCAGCAAATAAAATGAAGGTCACTTATTACAGTGTTACAAGGTTGAGCAGCACTTCAATTACTGTCCATTGTATCATTACAGCAGAGATGTCCTTTAGATGCGTCCATGAAGCTCTGTGGTATGTAGGTCATGTTGGCAGTCACTGTTATATTAGACTATTCTGGACTTGTATTCCTCCTGTTGTTCCTGGTCTGTTGTCTGTATCCACATCTGAGTTTAAATTCATCCAGTTTCCATTGCGTTTCACTGTAGGGCGCTGCAGAAAAGAATAAGTCGCAGGGGGTGAAAAAAACATGCCGGTGCTCAGTCTTTCAATACAAGATCACTTTAAAAAAAACCCATTATATAACCGGGAATTGCAGAAATGATTTCGTAAGTATAAGCTAGCACGCTGCCGTTAGTGTCGAGTCCTCAGAATCTTAACTAGCCGGTATTTCAGCTTAACGCTGACAACCAGAGACGGCTTAATAGGTACCACCGTTAAGTTACTCGTGCGTCAATGCCGGGGTTCCCGTTTAGATTTTCAAAATAAAACCCAGGGGCTGTGATGTAATACTTTTTAGAGGTCATATTGGTAGATTCAGGGGACACAGGGGTGCGGTGGATGGATAATGCTAGATTCCAAATACCTACCAGGACAACTACATATACGTGACTCACATAGCACCTCATCAAATTAAAATGTCTTTATTAACAGGACCATTCATTGAACCTTTGACTGGACAATAACCCTCAGTGCAATACCTGTAAATATACATTGTACAGATTATACAGATTCGTACAGGTCTCTATTTTTAAGTACTCTGATTTTATTCCTATTTATCTCATTTCAATGCGCATTCCTTTGTCTGTCTGCATTGTTTACTGCCTGTTTATACTGCTTATTTTGCATTGTTTGCACTGTTTGTTGCTTGTTAACACTGCTTATTTTGTTATATTACACAGCCTTATGCTGGTTTACTGTTTACTTGCCCCTTGCATGGGGATATGTACATACACATTGAGAGCTGATGTACCAGAGTCAAATTCCTCGTGTGTCCGACACACCTGGTCAATAAAGCAGATTCTGATTCTGATTTATTATCAGAATCTACAGTTAGGAAACATTGTAGGCTATAGGCCTATGTATTGTGTAATTGCATAGTATAGATACATATAAATAACAAGTGAAAAAGTGTAAAAATACTGTATGTAAAAGCTAGACTGTAAGTATATTTTTCAGGAGCTCAGCTCTGGTTTTTGTCCAGTAAAAATACCACCTAATTTTGGCATTACATCTATAATCCCAAAAGATTTCACTCATTCAGACTTTTTGTAACAAAAATCTGGATGATACATTTTAATATAAATCACTATATCACTATAAATCACCTTTCTAAAATTTGTTTATATATATATATGCTACTAAAATCGAGTTCAAATGGTCATATGGCATTAGTAAAATTCTTTATTTTCTTCAATGATTTTTTTAAAATTAACACTAGCCTACATTTCAGTTTAGAAAAATATTTTTATTAGCATATTTAGGCACTTATTTATTAGATAATAGTACACTTCCAAACTTGCACATTCCAACATTCATTAGATAGTACAGTACAGTATAGTATAGCAGTGTTGTCTAAACAAACTAACTTTTTTCTAGCATTATGAATCATTACATTTGCCCAGTAAACATGGTGGGCTCAACAAAGGTCTGACAAATTTGCAATTTGGGGGAAAAATGAAAACATGACTCTTTTGTTTTGAAGGCAAATGTACTTAGTTTCCGGTCTCGTCCTACCTCACTGAAGCAGTTCAACTGACAGCCGAACTAATTTAAGGCTTTCATAAAACTGCATTTTCCTTCCATGTATTTTTGTGAGTCGACCTCGGCATACGGGAGTCAGGACCGGAACAGATTAAAAGTAAATCGGAGGAAGTAAAATGGTGGCGTTCTAACGGTGTCCCCGTTACCTGATCAAAATGCACAGGCCATCCCTGTTGAGCAATCCTGTTAGAGAATCAGTATGCGCCTCCCGCCGCCTCTCTTATCTCGACCTGTTACACATGCACTAAAGTATTTTACAGCCTATATGTAACAATATCATTATTACTAAGTTCTGTCATTGCTTATACAGAGCAATCTTATCTACAGTGACGGATCTTATAGCTATTTCCCAGTCACTGGGGGTCCTGAAAAGTGGTTCAGAAGGAAAAAGAAATCCGTTTAAATAGCAACAACAGGTTATAAAGAATTACCGCACAAATTTCAATCTTCCTGTGACACTTCTCACTTTCCTTGGAGAATTTCAATTATACAGTACTATTTTGAATAAATGGTTTGTTTGTTTTTATTCTAGCCAATTCTAATTTAATCTATCTATATAGGCTATTGCAAACATTGGCTTAATATTGTACCTCACAAAGCTTTATTGGTACTTATATTGTCTATATAACATATATTATTGTATACAATGTATTGCCTGTACAAACAAGACTTATTCTGATGGCTCAGTACAGCTACTTTTTGCAACATTACACACAGAGAAAAGAAAATGCTTATCTGTGTATCAGTAAACTAGCCCCACAGGCAAGCGACCCTGGCCATCCATCTGTTCATTCACCCTCCAGCACTGACTGGTGTGGCCGGATGTCAGGAAGTCTTTGAACCAGCCATTTTAGCAGGATGGGGTGTAGGAGGAGGATGATGGACTGGCCATTTCCTAGTCTCCCCTGAGATATAAGGCCGGAATAATGCTTCTCTAAAGATGCACTTAAAAATCTCTGCAGATCTAGCCACAGGGATGTCATGTTTAGCCCAGGGTTTAGGTATAGAAGTGTGGTTCCTCCTACCCTAATCTGAACCTAACTTCACCCTTCACCCAGTTTCTTCCCCCTAC